CATGGGTTTGAATCCCACATGTCCCGATGGTGAAATTTAAATCAAAAATTAGCCCAGTGGTGACTATGTAACCATTGTTGTTTGTTGTAAAAGCCTCTCTGGTTCACTAATGTACATCTGCCCTACATGTGACTCCAGGCCCACAGCTGTGTGGTTGACTCTCAGTTGGCATCCGAAATTGCCCACCAAGCTGTATCAAAATAGCTGAAACTGCAAAACTGTCTTTCTTTTAAAAAAAGGAATGAAAAGGGATGGACCACCTGTAATCAACTAGATACTGGAAATGGCAATGGCAAAGGCAAACACAGCCCTGTAAACCCTGCACAGTTGCCCTTATCAACATCTGGAGAAGTATCGAAAAGACTAGTCAAGCAACAATCTGAAATAGTCAAACCTACAGAATCATACCTTACTGACACCGTCCCTGACATCCATCCCTAGATATGTCCTGTTCCACTGGTAGAACAGACCCACCAGAGGTGGTGGCACAGTGATATATAGTCAGATGTTGCCCTGAGAGTCGTCAATTTTGATTCCAGACATGATTAGATAACATAGAACAAGGTAAACATGAGTGAGGAAGCATCTTGCTTATTACCACGTATTCCCCTGACTGACGAAATGCTATTCCTCTACATTGTAGGAAGCAGTGGGAAGCACTGAGCGTGACAAGTGCACAGAATGTACTGTAGATGGCAGTCTTCAGTGTTCATCACCAAGAGTGGCTCAGTATCATCAATACTGACTGAGCTGATCAGGTCCTAAATGGCATAGCTGCTAGAGTGGATCTGCGACAAGTAGTGAGGGAACCAACAAGAGGGGAAAATGTACTTGACCTCGTCCTCACCAATCTTCTTGTTCCAATTGTGTCCATTCATGGCGGTGTCAGTAAGAGTGACCACCACGCAGTCCTTGTGGAGACAAAGTCCCACCTTCACATTGAGAGTACCTTTCATCGTGTTGTGTAGCACTATCACTGTGCTAAATGGGACAGATCTCAAATACATCTAGCAACTCAAAACTGGGCATCTTTGAGGTGCTGTGGGCCATCAACAATCTGCAACCTCGTATCCCCCATTCAAGCCAGGGGATTAACCATGGTGAAATCAAGAGTGCAGGAGAGTTTGTTCATGAATAGTACCAGGCATACCTAAAAAGATGGCAACCTTGTGATGTTACAACCCAGGACTGCTTATATGCCAAACGGTGGAAGCAACAACCAATAAACAGGGCTAAGTCATCCCACAGGCAATGGATCAGAATTAAGCTCTGCATTATATCACATCCATTCATGAATGGTGGCAGACCATTAAACAACTAAAGAAGTGGCTCTACAAATATCCCCATCCTAAAAGGTAGGGGAGCCCAGCTCATCAATGCAAAAGACAAGGTTGATATATGTGCAATGAATTGAAGAAGTGCTGAGCGGATGATCCATTTTGATCTCCTCCAGAGAACCCTGGCATCACATGCTGGTTTTCCATCAATTCATTTCACTCCACGAGGTATCAGAAAATGGCTGATGGCACTCCACAGTGTGGGCCCTGACAACATTCTAGCAATAATACTGAAGACATGTGCTTCAGAACTAACTGTGCCCGTAACCAAGCTCTTCCAGTACCCCTACAACACAGGCTGTCCCCAACAATGTGGAAACTTGCTCAAGTATCTTATGTCCTCAAAAGCAGGACAAATTTATCTTGGCTAGTTATTGTCCCATCAGTCTATTCTCGATCACCAACAAAATAATGGAAAGGGCCATCAACACATGCTTAGCAATAATCTGTTCACAGATGCTCAGTTTGGGTTCTGCCAGGGCCACTCAGCTCCTGACCTCTTTACAACCTTGGTCCAAACATGAACAAAAGAGCTGAACAGCAGAGGTGAGATGAGTGACATCAAGGCAGCATTTTACTGAGTTTGACCACAAGGATCCCAAGTGAGGGTGCATTATTTTATTGTGGTGAGTTTAAATGAAACTATGAAAAATAAATGGTTTGGAGATGGTCTATTGAGCACAACATTGAAGGGGAATGGGAAAGTTGGCAGTGTCATGGGATCAGGTTGAAGATAACACTCATAATTTTTGTTTTTCTGGGTTCCACTGCAAAAGAAACCAGATTTCTAGAACTTGGATGGGGCATGACCAGTTCAATGGGAAATTCATACTCCAAAGTTTTGAAGAAAGGGTGGCAATGTTTTTGAAGTAAAAGAGAGGCAAGGGAGCATTCTTTGAGAAGTGGGCGATAAGGGTGCTTACCAAAGAGAACGGAAGATGACAGAGAATGGGGAGAGGATAGGGGAGAATGAAATCACTGAGCAGGTAGCAAACTGGGGAGATTGGGTTGGTAAGAGCTGGGATGAGAAGGAGACAAGGGAGCAGGTATGTGCTCCAGGATTCAGATGTGTTTGAAGATGATTGGGAGCAGGACCATTGAGCATGGGCTGTGAGAAGTTGATTAAGTAGATGGGTAATAGGAAGGACTGGGAATGATAAATGTGAATGTCCAGAAGTTACAGAGGTCTATGGTTTACAAATTGTTAGATACTAATCTGCAAGATGGAATTAAAGCATTCAGTAACATCCAGAGACTGATTTAATATTGTAGGAAAGAGAAGGGATGATTGAAACTCAATTTTTGAATAAGCATAGATTTTACTTGTCTTGCACCTCCCATGTCTATATCCACCAAGTTGTCTACCTTCTTTCAAGTTTTTTTAAAAAATTTTAACCTACTCAAACTATCAAATGACTCATTCCTGGAACCTCGTCACAATTCCCACTGGCCTCAGAGCCATTTCATTCCTTTCACAGTCACAAGATAATTGTGAGGCTCAAACAAGGTCGGAAAGACTAGGCTTTGCCACTTAGTAATTCGGAGGTTCTGTAAACGAGAATCTATTGCTGCATACAGGTTCCACACAGCACAATGACGACTCTGCTTCGATTACCTCCTGGGGACATCTATAACCTAACTGTGGTAGCCTATACAGAAGGGAGCAGCAACTCCTCAGCACCACATATCATCCAACTCCGTAAGTAGTTCATTTCCATCTACCAACTTACTTCCATGCGTCTTGAAGGCATTTTTCTAATAATTTTGATGTGATGTTTGACTGCACAAATGTTGAGGCATTATTTAATAAGTGCATAATGTTTGAAAACCATAAAAGCTCAACCCAGCCATGTCACGAAATAACTGGAGTAAGGAATGTATGTGGATTCCACAGGGTCAATGTCTGAAGCCTCCCATGATCAAAGTGATCTAATCAATGCAATATACAAGACAAATTTAGTGAGGGAGTTTGAGTTGAGCTCTGTTCACAAACTGTGTAAAGCTAAGGGGAAGTCAGACATAAGCTAAAGTTGAACTGCCAGATAAAAGATTATCCTTTATCCTTGGAATATGAATGAGTCGATAGGTATGAGTTAGCAGTTTTGGTTTTGGTGTATGGAGGAGTTCCAGTTTATTACACTCCATCTGTGGAATTTATTCCAAGTCTGACTAATAAACTGTTACAACCCTGATTTGGACCAATTTTTTCTCATTCAAGCAAAGTCATTCTAAAATTGGGAAAAGAGGCATAGATACTGACCATCAGTCACTTAGAGTGGGGCCATGTTGGGGCCAGATCTGGAAGTATGGTCATTGAGTTAAATCAAGGTGAATGCACTGGGACCACTTGCTTGGCTCTGATATTGAACTAGCCAATTGGACCATTGTTCCTGGTTGATGATCACAGCACCTCCGGCATTGACGGCCAGAATTAATACAGCAGTAAGAGGCTCTTGTATAAACAGAGGCTGTAATCGCCTGGCATCGAGCTGATAGGGGCCTGGTGCACAGGATTAGCCACTGGACTGCTATTTGGTGGGTGTGCTGGAAATGGATGGCAATGAAAAAGGTAAGAGAAAGAGAGTAGATGGCAGTGGAAGAGGAGAGTGGGAATAATGACACTACGATGAGAAAGGAACAAATTGTGACAATAACGGGACATGAGAATGAAACAGAGGGTGGGAGCAACACTTTTAGGGTGGATGGTTTTCAAATGGCAGCGAGGAGAATGCAAACATGAACTTTGTGGTTAGCAAGCCTGTGTGTGTAAAGTTGGGGGCAGGAGTGGAAGCAGAGTGTCACCTTAATGTGGTTAAGCGGTGGGAGTAGATTATAAATTCCATTGAGAAGAGCTGGAGCAGAGGATAATTCTGTAAGAGTGCGAGGAGTTGAGTTGAGCCGAGGGTGTTTGGTAATTGGGACTAGGGGATCAGACTACTCCATAAACTGGGACAGTGTAGCAGGAGGGGGAAGGTGGTGAATGTGGGAGAGTGAAAGTTGATGAATCCTTGGAGAATAATGGGCTAGGGATTGTACGAACTGCCGATGCTGGAGAATCTGAGATAACAAGGTGTAGAGCTGGATGAACACAGCAGGACAAGCAGCATCAGAGGAGCAGGAAAGCTGACGTTTCGGGTCTGGACCCTTCTTCAGAAATCCTTTTAACCTACCAGAAATTTCCAGAATCCAGAAATTTCTGAAGAAGGGTCCAGACCCGAAACATCAGCTTTCCTGCTCCTCTGATGCTGTGTTCATCTAGCTCTACACCTTGTTATCTCAGAATATTGGGCTACTTACTTCATTAAAATCCAAATGTTACCTCCACTTTCCTCCTTTACTTTTACTATAAGATCTATTAACCATCGACTAGTGCTTAATTAAGCCAGAATGAATCATTTAATGACCAATTTGAAATTATTTCTGAACAGTCTGTTTCAGGTCAACCCTCATCCCACCCCATTGCCAACCCACACATCAGCAGTTCTGTGTCTTCAGCCTTTCATGTATCCTGCTTCCTTTTTTCTCCAGCGTCAGTGACAGCATATTGAGTATACCAACACCTTAAGGTGCAAAGCCCCAGTAGGACGCTTGTTCTCACATGTTGAGGCTATTCTTTGTCTGTAAAGTTGACGTGCGTGATCAGTTTATTCATGGATTTTCACAGCACAGATACATTACCAGAGCCTTACCCCAGGAACTTGTTTTGGGCCATTTGCTAGGTTCAAGAGCCAAGGGAATTGAGTTTTAAGAGCCGTGAGGTTATGCTGCAGCTCTATAAAACCCTGACGAGACCACACTTGGAATATTGTGTTCAGTTCAGGTCACTTCATTATAGGAAAGATGTGGGAGCTTTAGAGAGGGTGCAGAGGAGATTAACCAGGATGCTGCCTGGACTGGAGGGCAGGTCTTATGAGGAAAGGTTGAGGGAGCTAGGGCTTTTCTCATTGGAGCGAAGAAGGATGAGAGGTGACTTGATAGAGGTTTACAAGATGATGAGAGGTGTAGATAGAGTGGATAGCCAGAGACTTTTTACCCAGGGCGGAAATGACTATTACGAGGGGGCATAATTTTATGGTGATTGGAGCAAAGTATAGGGGAGATGTCAGAAGTAGGTTCTTCACAGAGAGTGGTGGGCGTGTGGAATGCGCTGCCCGCAGCGGTAGTGGGGTCAGATACTTCAGAGATTTTTAAGCGACTCTTGGATAGGCACATGGAGGATAGTAAAATGTAGGGTATGCAGGGGTAGATTGATCTTAGTAGGATAATAGGTCGGCACAACATCGTGGGCCGAAGGGCCTGTACTGTGCTGCACTGTTCTATGTTCTATGTTAATGGACGAGAATCAAAACAAAGAAGATTCCAGGCATCTGGAATTTTAATGTACAACTAAAGGACATGTAAAAAGATGTCTGAAGTTGCAAGAGGAAAAGGAAGTGACATCCAGAAAAGAAGATCTCAGCATTTCTTTGGAGTTGTAAAATTACAGAGATGTCTTCAAGAGGGCAAAGTGGAGGCAGCAGAAAGGGGTCAAACTTGGCACCTTTTAGTGATGAATGTTGCAGAGCAGATTCAGTCAAGCTTCAATGTGTGTGACAGGATAGCACATGTAGACAACCTTACAATACCATGGCAGCAGATCACTAGACAGGAGTAGCTACAGCAGCTGTAGCAATATGTGAAAATATTCAAGAAATCAGAGTTGCTGTCTCCTTTGTTAAGAGAGGACACTTAATTGATGTAACTGAAATTAAAGACTTAGTCAAAATTAATACCAAACGTTCATTTTGGTAAAGTATTGAAATCTCAGGAGTTACTGGTTTAAAAATGAGTAATGTAAAACGAAAGAGCTGCAGTTGCCAGAGATCTAAAACAAAAACAAATTGCAGGTGAAACTCTTTTGATGAAGTGTCATTGGACTCAAAATGGTAACTCTGCTTTCTTCCCAAAGATGCTGCCAGACCTGCTAAGTTTCACTAACAATTTCTGTCTTTTTGTTAAAAGTGAGAAAGTTTGGATTAATTAAGGCAAGTTAAATGGATTAATTTAGCCCAGAGGATAGTAAATTTGTCAAGGTGTTACAATGACGGTAATCATGAAATGCATTGAAGCAGACAGAATGAACAGATTTGAAAAACAATTAACCAGATTTCTGGAGAGTAAAAGATTGATTCAGTGTGTATCCTTCACAAAACATATATCTTCTGTGCCCTCAATGACCTGCAGGTAGGTGTTCCATTGGTATGGAATTAAATTACTTCCATAGGCACCAAACCCTGTCTCTTGTTGCCCTTTGAACTGAGCAGTTTGCTAGGGTAGTTAATCGTCAACAACGTTGCTGTGGATTGGAAGTCCCAAGTAGGGCAGAAGAGGTAAAGATGGCAGATTCCCCCACAAAAGAACATTAGGGAACCAGATGAGTTTTTGCAGCAATTGATGATTACTAAGACTATTTTTTTTAAATTCCCTATTTACTAATTGAATTTTAATTCCACCAATGTTGGGACATCAACTCTCATATTAGCATAAAGCATTAACCTTAGCCATTGGTCCTACAACACTCTCACTAATTCCTCCGCACCCCCAAATCTGAACTGGATTGCCTTGAAATTCACAGCAAAGATTGGCCTATTTCAGAATGTTGAAAGGTGTTTGTGCCCCTCACTAAGTTGCTATGCATGCACCATTCTAAAGGTAAGATCTATGCAGGATTTGCCTTTATAATGCCTGACTGATTACTCACTTCCTGGTTAAGCATGTGGCTGCATCACTCTTACAGCAGTCTTTCACCCATTTGTTCTTAAATTGCTAAATGTGTTCCTAAATTCCTCAATTACTTTCTTTCCTTTTCCCGATTTAGTGGTCTCCATTTGCTACATGCAGTGCCTCACAGCTCCTTCAACAACAACCACTAGGAGGTATCCAACAGCAGCCTAGGCTTTGTTCCACCATTGTCCCTCTCTTCTCCATGGAAAAGCACTTCACCCTGCCAACTGATACCATTTAAAGAAATATTTATATTTTGAACAGAAATTCAAGTCTGGTAGCATAATGAGACAGGAGAGGTAGATATTAACTTTGCTTCTGAAATCCAGGCAATTGGCAGAGCTGGGGAAATGTTTATCTCCACTCATGATACATACCAGGGTCAAATTTTACTGGTTTGGTTTCCCAGCAAGTCACAGAGTGCTCTAATCCAGTTTGGTTTTGTGATTCACTGTTTATTCACAGAGCCCGCTTCTCCCAAGTCACTCTTCGCTGTCAACAAAACACAGACATCGGTAACACTCCTGTGGGTAGAGGAAGGAGTCATTGATCACTACAAGGTCACATGCAAACGGGTTGGAGCAAGAGATGAAGGAAAGGTTGGTTGCCTGCTCTTTTCACTTTCGCTGCCAGGAATTCAGAACCTGGTTCCATCGCTAATTAAATCAGGCAGACGTGATTGGAACCAAGGGGATCAGTTAGATGAAGCCAATTGTCCAGTTTAAACTTGCACCCTGAATGCAGAGGGATTGCTCTGTTTAAAATCCTCAGTACCAATTGTGAACTCCTCCCTATTCATAGTCATAGAGTCATACAGCATAGAAACAGACCCTTCAGTCTAATCAGCCCATGCCAAACATAATCCCAAACTAAACTAGTCCTACCTGCTTGCTGTCGTCCCATATCCCTCCAAACCTTTCCTATTCATGTAACTTCCAAATGTCTTTTAAATGTTGTAATTGTACCCATATCCACTACTTCCTCAGGAAGTTCATTCCACACACAAACCACCCTCTGTGTAAAAGATTTGCTTCTTGTGTCTCCATTAAATCTTTCCCACCATAAAAATGTGCCCCCTAGTCTTGAAATCCCCCATCCTGAGGAAAATACAACTACCATTAATCCTGTCTGTACTCCTCATTACTTTATAAATTTCTACCAGGTTGCCTCTCAACCTCCTATGCTCCAATGAAAAATGTCCTAGTCTATCCAGCCTTTCTTTATAACTCAAACCTTTCATACCGAGCAACCGAGTAAATCTCTTCTGAACTCTCTCCAGCTTAATATCTTTCCTATAACTGGACACAGTACTCCAGAAGAGACTTCACCAATGTCCTGTACAACCTCAATATGACTTTCCAACTCCTGTACTCAAAGGATTGAGCAATGAAGGCATGCAGAAATTGTGAGGCAGATAGACCCAACTTTCCGCTTTGAGGAGACACTTGCCTCACATTCTGAGGTCAATTTTCAACAAAGGAACCTCTAAGTCCTGATCAAGTTCAATATAACTATCAGCCATAAGGATGTTCAGATGGAAACCAGTGTAACTGTGCTAGGTTGGATTTTCCGCTCCATTTCAGCCAGTTTTTCTATTGCACTGCCTCAGATATTAGTAGAAACAGGGTTTGTTAGTCCAGTAATAAACAATTTCTGACATCATCATCAATATCTAGATGTGACAGGCACATTAAAAGGAGGTACAAAATCTGCAGTTCCTTGCTATTAACTTGTCGTTCAATGGAAATAGGCTTTCACTATTAGCCCTTTCAAAACCTTCCATAAATTTGAAAATTCTACTTGACCTTCCCAGTTTATCCCTCGATATCAAAAGCATGGCGGTTACAATTGACCAAAAACTGAACTGGACTCCCCATATAAATACAGCAGCTACAAGAATAGGACAGTGTGGGGAGCTGGAGGAACCCTGCAGGTCAGGCAGCATCAGAAGAGCAGGAAAGTTGATGTTTTGGGTTTACACCTTCATTAGCCCCAATGCAGCTCAATACCATCCAGAACAATGCTTGATTGCACATCCACAAACATCGCTCACTCCACCATTGACACTCAGTCGCAGCAGTGTGTACCATCTACAAGCTACACTGCAGAAACTCACCAAAGCTGCTTAGACAGTAGCTTTCCAACCCACAACCACTTCCATCTAGAAGGACAAGGACAGCAGATACTTGGGAACACCACCACCTTCAAGCTCCCCTCTGAGCCTCTCACCATCCTGACTTGGAAATATATTGGTGGTCCTTCACTGTTGCTGGGTGAAAATCTTGAAGTTTCCTCCCAAATGGCATTGTGGATTTTCCTGTAGCAAACGAACTGCAGCAGTTCAAGAAGACAGTTTGCCACCCCTTCTCAAGGACAACTAGGTTCAGGCAATAAATGCTGGTGATGCCCACATCCCAGGAATGAGTAATGAAAATAAAACCTGCCCAGTACTAGTTTTATTTATTCATTCATGGGATAAGGGGCATTGCTGGCCAAGCCAACATTTATTGCTCATCCCTAATTGCCCAGAGGGCAGTTAAGAATTAACCACATTGCTGTGGGTCTGTAGTCACATGTAGGCCAGACCAGGTAAGGATGGCAGTTTCCTTCCCTAAAGGACATCAGTGAACCAGATGGGTTTTTCCGACAATCAACAATGGATAATGGATTATTGGTCATCATTAGACTCTCAATTCCAGATTTTTTTTTTTATTGAAATCAAATTCCACCATCTGCTGTGGTGGGATTCGAACCCAGGTCCCCAGAACATTATCTTGGTCTCTGGGTTAACAGTCCAGCGATAAACCACTTGGCCATCACCTCCCTGTACAGGTTGTCCAGGAGCTGTTCTTGTTGCTTGCATTCTCCATATTGGGAAGATTGAGCTTGCTTTTTTAGGTATTCCTTTGTATCTGTGAGTGGGGAGACCAGTGGGCTGGGGGATAGTTGATTAGCTCAGCTACTGGCTTGCCAGTAGCGCAGGTTAAATTGTCACACCAGCTGAGGTTACTTGAAGGCCTTGCCTTCTCAACCTCACCCTTTGCCTGAGGCCTGGTGACCCTCAGATGAAACTCACCCTCAATCATCTCTTTGCACCTTCAGTAAACCTAAAACAGAATGGCCTTCCCCAGGATCATGGGCATTAATATAAAATGAGCACAGTCCACATCTTGCTGGCATGATTTTATTGATCTTTCGTTTTTGGCGTCATTTCTTGGCAGTATGTAATCAACAGAGTAGCACCGTGTATGTAATAGCAACTGTGTTTGAATTACAGTCGAGATCCAAGTCTCATAAAGCCCCAGATGCCACCAGAGCTCAAGGCTGGGAGCTCAAATCTCAAAATCTGAGACATCATCAGCAAAACACAAATATAGAAGCCCATTCTCCCCTTTTCACTGGCTCATTTTCTCTCCTGCTGAAACTGAGGGAGGGAGTGAGTTGCTTGGATTTTACAAAACCAGTTCCTAGGAACTCTGAGAATGAAGCATTGACAAAGTTTGTCTTCCTTATCTCTGTGCAAGTATAGAGCCAAGCTCTGTGCTAGCAGTCTACAGAATGCTGACTTGAAACTCAAGAATTTTGCGGCACTGTGCCCTCCCGATATGGTTTTATTCAAAAAGATACTTTTCAAAGCTAGATTTTTGTAACAACTTATTTTAGCTCTGCTATTTTTGGCTTGTGTTGTAATCTATTTAAAATGTTGCGCAAATGCAACCTCCTTCTTCTTTTATGCCTTTACATAATTTCCTGCACTGTTGCAGTTTTTAATATTAAGATTAACGATGACAGCACTGACAGCTTCACCACAACTACCAGGAAGATAGTTCTATGGGAAATATTCTCACATAGTTAAAGGCACAATGAATAGCCAGTTTGGCTTTCGGGCTGCATCATCGACAAGGAGCTATGGGTAACATGTAGGTAACATTTATTTAATAGTAACCTCTTGTTCTGTATTGTAATGAAGAAACAGATGGCTAAATGAATGAAAGAAATAATCAAGTGTTACCAGTGTAAATAGCAATTGGTCTATAGGTGAAGACTACAGCTTGATTGAATGAGTAGGCCTGTTGATATTGTGCCAAAAACAACTCTTGCATTGGAATGCATTTTAATAGCAGTGACTGCTAACGCTGTGATAGTGTGTAAACCTGGACGCTTGGCTCTATGCATTGCAGCTGGCTGCAGACATTTAGTAATTCTGAAACTGCACTCACGAGAGATCAAGTTCAGATCTTTTCATGGCAGATAAAGAGATTTTGATTGTGGTTCTTTGTGTACTGGCATTAACACTGATTGATGTAGAAAGCCTACCTGATGTGCCTTGCATGTGGCTCCAGTCCCGCACTCTGTCTTTCATCCTCAATGCATTGAAACCAATTCAGGATGAACAATAAATGCCTGTGTTTCTACAGCTCAACTCTAAGAACTTTGACCAAAAATAATTTCAAATATTTCCATTCCATAAATCAATTGTGATGTGTGAATACTCTCAGGTTGTCTTCAATTGGTGACGTGTGAATACTCTCAGGTTGTCTTCAATTGGTGACGTGTGAATACTCTCAGGTTGTCTTCAATTGTGACGTGTGAATACTCTCAGGTTGTCCGTTTTAGGAACTCCGCCTTTTTGTCTTACTCTCATAACTTAGTTTGATGTAATTTTCTGAATTGCCCCTTTTCCTTTCTATTGACTGTCTTATATTCTCCAAGCTGGTCAATTCACCTTTTTTTTGCCACATCTTTCAAGGCTGCGATTTTTTTCAGTCATTCCCCCATCCTCTCAGCTTTGTGAATCAGGGAGCAGCCATACAGATAAGTTGAAATAGTTTAAATCCAACAGTTAAAGATCTGGAGTGTTGATTGTCAATAACCATTCATGTTTGATCCATGTTTACAATGCTTTTCTGATAATACTGGTGAATGATATACTTTCTGCAAAAATTTAATGTGTAATTTATAATTCATTGTTGTGGCAGCTAAACGGTTTTACTATTTGAATTCTTTGATCCTTTACAACCTGGATTTCTTGCATTTTGTTGAAATCTGTCAGTGAACCTTTACCCACCCTGGAGATGGATACATCACCAGCTTTTCTACTGTGCCATTATCCTACTCTTACCATAAGCAACAGGGTGAATGACAGTGGCCCCCGAGACTTTTTGGTTCATTTGACTCCTTTTAACTGTGAGGAAGAGATTCAGTCTCCTGGCATTTTCATAAAAGCGTAGCCAAAACATGGAACTTGCACTGATAAAGTTCCTATATGCATCTATGACGTTATGCCAGTGTGACTGAAAGGAAGTATTCAAGTTTCAACAGCATCTACTTACAGCTGGCCAGAATTTGAGAACATTGAAGCCAAGTTAAATGACAATAAATGTTCGCTCCCAATAAATGGATGTGAAACTGCAAAGTGTACAAATAAAAGATGCTGAAGTAAACTTTGTGATTGTGAAAACATCAGGCGCCGTGGGCAGGATGTGAGAGCCCGCCAAGATTAGGAACAAATATACTGGCGCCGATCAGTGTGCCAGTTCCCCAACAACTTTATCAGTGCCAGGCATTTCAAAGAGGTGGTTTCAGGGCCTGACAGGGCCTGCTGTCTAGCTGTCCCACAAGATGCAGGCAGCCAAATACATTAGGTTCATTCAGGACCTTGTTAATGGAGGGCACTGGGATTTTGACCTTTGGAGGGTGGGTGGGTGGGTGGGTTGTATTTAATTGGCACCAGGTACCAGGGCAGAGTGCGTGGAGGGGGAATTCCAAAGAGCTCCAGGTAGCACAACAGACCATCCCTTCTTGCTGTATAGAGGCATAGCCAAGGACCACCCTGAGGAGGAATTTGTCTCTCCCTCATCCCACCCAGTGCTGGCCTGACTACCTGTTGTTCTAAACGGTATGGGGGGGTGCATGTGTCTGTGCGTGTGTGTGTATATTTGTACGTGCGTATATGTGCGTTCGTGTGTATGTATGCTTACTTAGGCTACTTACTTCAAAACATCTGCACCAAGGAATGAAAGAGATTAAAAAAAGGATACTTGCACACTCTGCTTTCTGCTTTACCAAATGTGCACAATAAAGGTTAAAATATGCATATAATATTCTAATATTTATGGACATGCCCAGATAAAGTGTCTCTTACTTGTTGTTCTATTTATTAATTGGAAATGCATTATCCACATCCTAATTAGCCCCGTACTGATAACATGCTGAACACTAAGCAACATATATAATATACTTAGCATGTTACAGGAGATGTAACCAAAGGATTTCATTTGACGGCTGTATCAATGATAATACTACAGCTTATGTAATTGTGTATTTTCTCACACATGCCTGGCTCTGCCAGTCTTCCATCATTTTTAAGTTTGAAGTTGCTTTCTTTTTCTTTCAGAAAGAAGAGATCACAGTTTACTCGCCTATTGTTACACTAACCAACCTCGTGCCATCGACCTCCTACAACTGCAGTGTGACTAGTGTCAGTTATGAGCGTTACAGTGCTCCAGTTTTCATCACTATCTCTACAACAGGTACTTTCTTTATAAAGAAAGGTATTCCTTTCATTTAGCAACGGCCTCAGAGGCGGGAATCAGGTTTTAAGTATCGGTATGGCTATACCGAGCAACAGTAAATCCCACAGTTGAGAGTTCAATTCCAATTTGAAGACGTGTTCTCTGTAATTTAACTGTTGCTCTTAGTACAGAGTGTTCAAGACAAGTGTTTAATACCAACTAAAAACTGAAAGAACTGCAGATGCTGTAAATCAGGGACAAAAACAGAAGTTGCTGAAAGAGCTCAGCAGGTCTGGCAGCATCTGTGAAGAAAAATCAGAGTTAACATTTCAGGTCCAGTGACCCGAACTCAGAACTGAGTCCCTGAAGTGTTTTTGTTTCTGAAGTGTTTAATACCAGCTGGTTAATGCAGATATGAAGTGCAACATCGCCAAGCTTCAGAGATTCCGAGGCATATTGTAGACCCATATCAGTTTTGCTAGTACCATAGCACAGACCCATGCATTTCACATAATGTTCTATATTGGCCCCCAGTGTTTCATTAACTTTTACTGCTTTCCATTTGATGGTTTGAGACTCAGCAGTGACACAGCTGGAATCCAGATTTGGGCATTAACTGGAAGACATCCTTTGTAAACCTGTGAAAAATGATGTATTTCCCTGCAAAGACAGAAACAGGTTACATGTGAAACACAGTGATAGCTGAAATATAATTTCAGGAAGTGAGACATTGTTTATTTTTGCTGTAATAATAGAGCACTGAATTTTTTTTTAAAAAACGTGAATTTTTCTAAACATTGATATTCAGGGAGATTTGGGTTAATGCATACCGGAAATGTAAAGCTGGCAGGTAGATGCATCAAGAAATAAGGAAAGCAAATATGTTGGCCTTTATTACTTGAGGATATAATACAGGAATAATGAAGTTGTGCTGCATTTAAACAGAGCACTTGTGAGAGATCACACCTGGACTGCTGCATTGATGTTTTGGTCTCCATGTTTATGGAGTGAAATGCAGTAGTTACAATGGAGGTGTTACAGTGAAAGATTGGTTCCTGAGATAAAAGAGTCATCCACGATATGGGACTAATAAACTGGGACTGTAATCTGGAATTTAGAAGAATGAGAGGTGATCGCTTTAAGAAGTGCAAGATTCCGAAGGAGCTTAACAATGTAGAGGCTTAGAGGTTGTTTCCCCTGACAGAGAGATCAAAATTACCAGGACACTGCCTCAAGATACTGGGTCAATCATTTAGGACTGAGATGAGGATAAACTTTTTCACCGAAAGGGTTGTGAATCTTTGGAATCCCCTGCTCCAGAGGATTGCGGGTGCTCCACCATCAGTTATACAGGTTGCACCTCTGTAAACCAACGGCTTTTAGACTTGGCCTTTGTCAGATCAGACTGGAACACAGGAGGTCAGATATCGGGACTAACCTGGAGATATTTAAACACATTTAAAAATGCTCTGCCTCAATTTACTCACCGCCTTCTGCCTTTTAAATTCAATTATGTTTTCCTTGCTGCAAATCATGTTTTGACACAATAAATGATCCTCAGTAAAGAACCTGAAAAAGGAGAAAGTTTCACATCATCTGGACCAGAGGCATTTGTTCCTGTAAAAAACGAAAGAACTGCAGATGCTGTAAATCAGGAACAAACACAGAAGTTGCTGGAAAAGCTCAGTAGGTCTGAAGAAAAAGTCAAAGTTAACGTTTTGGGTCCGGTGACCGGGAGGGTCCGGGTCCTGAGGAAGGGTCACCACGCCCAAAACGTTAACTCTGATTTTTTCCTTCACAGATGCTGCCAGACCTGCTGAGCTTTTCCAGCAACTTCTGTTTTTGTTGCATTTGTTCCTGTGTGGGGGTTTGAAGCACTTAATTCTTTTTGCCTCCCACACCCATCTGTGAGTAACAAAATGCATCCTTTTTTTTAACTAAAGGATCAAACTGAAAGATAAGCGTTTCACTGAATTAACTGAGCGTGCAGGCTGATTATATGAAACCCCTGACCTCATGACTGAGACCGCATCTTTACATGGACCAATTATCCTGCTCCTTGTCAAAGATGAAGATCACTTGGAAACCAGCTGAAATTAGCTCGTTGAAAGACTTATGCCAGCACAACAAGGAAAACTTTTTGGGGGAGACGGACACTGAACACTGTGCATTCTTCAGAAAGCAGGAATAGGAACCACACTGTGTTTGCGACAGAGTGCTGCATTAGGGAGGTATAACCTGCATTTGAGGCTGAGATAAATGATTTTTGGTGTCTCAGGAAATCAAGGGATGTTAAAAGGGAGTGAGAAACTGGAGTTGAGGCAGATCAGCCATGGTCGTTCCAAGCTCACCGTGCCGGTCTCCCCCTGCTATTTCTTGCGTCCTTATAAATACAAGTATGTGATAGTCCTCTTAATAATTTACACTGCTGGATAAGGAGCAAGGCCAAACAGGGTAAGGTAAATTTTGAAAGTTTATTGAGCAGCCTATGCTGACAGTTGTTTCATAGAAACGTAGAAAATAGGTGCAGGAGAAGGCCATTCAGCCCTTCGAGCCTGCACCACTATTCAGTATGATCATTCAGTCTGGTGAACCTTCCCTCAACCTCAAGAATGTCCTTCCTCAGACTAGGAGACCAAAACTGCACACAATACTCGGTGTTTTGAGAGCAGAATGGACAAAGCCTGGGATAAGATGAGCTAAATATCTTCTGATATCTATTGTAGTGAGCAACTGGATGATGACAGAAGAAACCAAACTGGTTTAAGCACAAAATAAATGAGAGGAGTACTTTTAATTTTACTGTAATATGATCCAATTAAGGGTGATGGGGAATAGAGAAACGTAGGTCCTATTAACCTCCAATGACCTTTTCAGGGCAACAACTGCTGGGAGGGAGCGGATTAGCTCAGTTGGCTGGACAGCTGGTTTGCAATACAGAGTGATACCAACAGCATGGGTTCAATTCCTGCACCAGCTGCAGCTCCTTCTCAACCTCTCCCCTCACCTGAAGAATGGCAGCCCTCTGGTTAAACCACCACCAGTTATCTCTCTCTAACAAGAGAGCAGCCCCATGGTCTGGTAGGATTATAGCAATTTTACCCTTCCCTGTTTGGCAGTAAATGCCTGCCTTGGAGGTGGGGGGCATTATTTGTATCTTGTTGTTATAGCACCACACACAAGTAAAGTGTTTTGGGACAATCTGTATCACTCTATTGAATGTATTTGTAACAAATATGAAAGTAGTTTCAAATAACTTATGTTCATCAAAATTGTGCTCACGAGGAGCAAAATGTCCTTACTTGTAGTACCAGAAAGGAGATCCTGATTCATTCTTTTGAACATCTAGTTACAGAAGTGAATTCGAACATGGTCGTAATCTCTGCCCTTGCAATTCTGAGTATCCTGCTCATAGGACTGTTGCTGATTACACTGTTTGTTCTACGGCGGAAGCACTTGCAACATGCCAGGTACAGGGTAATTTTCTGCACGCATTCCCTCCAACAGTCATTTTGAGTTACTCATAACTGAGATCACGTATAAATAATCACATTGCTACCTTACAGGAATTGTGGAGCAGGAATATTTGTCAATTTCGCCACTTTGGAGAGAGATGGGAAGTTGCCATTTAACTGGTACGTTCAGAGTGGAAAGGAGAGGTAAATGATTGGATTGGCAGAGTGACGGCCTTTCTTTTTGAATGATTGAAAATTAGTTTTAATTTCTGTGTAACGTGTTATCTGAGATTGTTTGAACAACGGAGGTCGTAACCCCAAACACGACAGAAGAGTCCTTGTAAAATAAAAACCAGCAGACCTGTGGATGCTGTAAATCAGGAACACAAACAGAACTCAGAAGTTCTGAGGAAGGCCACTGAACAGGAAACATTAACTCTGTTTTTTTCTTCACAGATGCTGCCAAACCTGCTGAGCTTTTCTAGCAATTTCCGTTTTTGTTCCAAACATTGTAAAATGTTCACTGACAGAGTACAGCAAGTAAGAAATAAACTTCCATTGTCTGGAAGGGACATAAAATATAACTGAAGTCTTTAGGAGTTACAGTGACAGATTTCCAAAGTACTTGCACTCCAAAATTCACTTAGTTGCCACCAAATTTCTAGTTTCCAGTGTTTAGTTCTCAGCACTTTTGTTTCAATAAGCACTTCTAGGAGCATCAGTGAATAGATTCAGCAAGTAATGCAAAATTCAGTGTTCTGTAATTACTTTGTGGCATATGTGTGCACAATACCCTCTTACTAACTATTTAGGCACATGTTCTGCAATTCTTGCTATTTTCATGTTGATGTTAGAGTTGCAGTGATGTAGCCAGGGCAAAATCTCGGCATTCTAGGGAAAAAAGCAAACACGCAAAGCTGACACCAAGGTAGACATTTTTACACATGGAAGCAGCGGGCATGGCTTGGCGTACTAAACAGGTACTTGGATTTTCCTTTATCAAGGAAGAATCTTCTACCTAATATAAAGGGAAAATAGGGTTTGTCCAGGTAATTGGAAAGGCAAATGGCATATTGGCCTGGGAGTGTAGGTGGAAGGCAGTGTTGCTACAATTACATAGGGCTTTGCTGAGACACAGTTAAAATAATGGTCTGAATCCTTCCCCTCAAGGCATTAAAAGTACCAACATATCAATTTCCACATGTCGTTTCCAACACCAGCAGTAATGAGCAACATGGTTGGAGGATTAGATGAGAATCCTCTGCTCCCTCCAATTCAAACCAGTTAAAATCTTTTCAGAAATAAAACCAAAAGTACTCCAGAAACTCAGCAGGTCTGGACTTCTAAAATACACTTGAGAAGGTGCCACAAAATCAACTTGCTACCAAAGTTGATAAATGTGGAATAAAATGAGAAAGTAGAAGATGAAGATGACTAACAGTAAACTGTAGACGGTAGTGGTGAACAGTTGAAGGGAGAGATATTGTGAGATTCCCCAGGGGCTGACACTAGGATTAAATCCAGAAAGTGCTGGAGGAATTCAGTGAATGCTAAAGCGTTATATCAGACTCCAAGCATTAATTTTGTTTCTCTGTCCTCAGTTGCTGCCAGACCTGCTAACTTTCTCTAGCAGTTGTTGTTTCATTTCAGATCTGCAGTATCAGCAGTAGTTTATAGTAGGTACTAGGACCACACCCTTTCTTGATTGATATCAATGACCTAAGTATTGGGTTTATAGAGTACAATTTCAAAGCCTGGAAATATTGTGAATTGTAAGGAAGCAAGTGATAGACCTCAGGAGGAGGCAGTAGCCTCGCTGTATTCTCGCTGGATTGTTTATTCAGCAAACACATGTAATGTTCTAGGGACCTGGGTTCAAATCCTGCCATGGCAGATAGTGGAAATTGAATCTAATAAAAATCTGGAATGATGGTCTAATGGTGACCATGAAACCATTGCTGATTGTTAGGAAAAGCCCTTCTGGTTCACTAATGTCCTTTAGGGAAGGAAACTGCTGTCCTTACCTGGTCTGGCCTACATGTGACTCCAGACCCACAGCAATGTGGTTTACAGTTAACTGGGTAATAAATGCTGGCCTAGCCAGTGATGCCCATGTCCCATGAGCGAATGGAAGGAAGGACATAAGCTGGTGGAATGGGCATTCATGTGGAAGCCTTTTAATGCAGAAACTTGTGAAGCGATGCTTTTACCTTTTGGTAGGAAGAGAAAGGCAATATATAATAAAGGGAATGCAGGGACAGAGAGACCTGGTGGTAAGTGTGCACAATATTTGGCAGTGCAGGTTGAGAAAGTGGTTTGAAAAGCCAGATGGGATCCTTGTCTTAAATAAAGGTATAGAGTACAAAATCAACAAAGTAATGATGAGCTTCATTAAACACTGATTCAATCTGAATTGGAGTTATGGGCCAGTTCTGAGCACTGCAGTTTAGGACATGAACCATGAACATGGGAAGCAGATATACATCACTAACATACTATTGACAACAGCACTCCAAATAAAGAAAGTAGAGGATATTATGACAGTTTTTGAAGTCTGCCAGATTCTGCATGTAACAGCACCCCATCATCTCTAGAAGTCAGAAACCAGCAGAAACATTGAATCTGACAGATGAGTGCTGTGCTCAAATCAAGGAAACTACTTAAAATGTTAACTCTCCAAGTGTTGCAAGAAGTCCTGATTAAAGAATGGCCCAAAAGCATCAGGGATATACCTTTTGCTGTAATACTATATTGCACATGCAGAGATAAATTGACAGTCCAAGATGGGCATATTATACAAAGGATATAGTCATTATCCCCAAAGGAATTGAGAAGAGAGATGGTAAAGTGCATCTGTGCAAGCTACTGAGGAATCGAATCAAGTCTGAGGAAGGCAAGAGATGTGATGTATTGGTCAAATATAAGCAATAAAATCCATATCAGTGCCATGCCTGCAACGAGTACCAAGCTAAACAACCCAGGCTGTTGATGACATATGACCTTGTAGACAGACCATGGCTAAAACTGGGAGTAGACATCTTCACTATCTCAGAACTGACGATCTTGTTTTATAGGCTACTGTTCAGACTACTGGGAGGTGGACCAGTTGACTTCAATAACAACAGTGAGACTAGGGTGATGAGTGAAGAATTCAGCTGCTTTATAAAGGATATTAAAGTTTATCTCCACACCATCCCCAATAAAACAGAGAAGCTGAGGAGGCAGTGAATATCACCAAAGGAAACATTAAAAAATCGAGCGAATCAAACACAGATGTATACGAGATAACAAGGTGTAGAGCTGGATGAACACAGCAGGCCAAGCAGCATCAGAGGAGCAGGAAAGCTGACGTTTCAGGCCTGGACCCTTCTACAGCTTTCCTGCTCCTCTGATGCTGCTTGGGCTGCTGAGTTCATCCAGCTCTACACCTTGTTATCTCAGATTCTCCAGCATCTGCAGTTCCTACTATCACAGATGTATACGAGGCAGTTCTCAAGAGCAGAAGAAGCACACCTACTGAACACATAGAAAATAATCCAGTACAAAGACTAATGGTAACTTCTCATTTGACAGCAAAAAAAAGGCCCTGTAGCCAGAGCTGGAAACAGATGTGAGTGAAAAAAATTAAGGTGAAATTGCAGAAAGCCAAATTTCATTTTGACAAGACTGCCAAACTATTCCCAAGGCTGAGATCCAGGCAATGCTCTGACAAGATTCAGCCCAAGTGGCAACTTGGCACCTGTGTATGGTAGGCGCCATCTTGATTGTATGTGGAGGAGTTGACTGAGCAGATATAGCCCCACAATCGCAGGCAAATAAACACAACAGGAGAAATCATAAGATTTTAGCAAAGATCTGTAGCTCGGGTTGTGGGTGAGGTTCTTGACTTGCTCGCCGAGCTGGCTTGTTTTTGTTCAGACGTTTCATCACCATGCTGGGTGACATCATCAGTGCGGTGTCCGACGAAGCAATGTTGTTCTACTCCATTTGGAATTTATACTGTCCGGTCTGTTATGGCAAGCTGTGTCGTTTCTGGTTTTGTTCTGTATGGGTTTGTATATGGGGTCCAATTCTATAGGAGAAACTATTCCTCAACTTCTGTGACCAATCAGGAAGATGTGGGAACTCATTGCCTGCACTGGTCACACCTCAGCCATCAGACCCAAAGTTCCAGAGCAAACCCACAATGGAAATGGAACAGCGACAGGTACCATGGCAACAACGAATGACTCCCCAAGGAGGGAACGTCTCCCAGATGAACATTTAATGACCACATGCACCATCAAGAGACTGGCACAATTTTAAAACTGTTTTCAAAATGCACCTGTTGACTGAAGAAAGCAACAAATTGCTAATGCATGAGAACAGTTGTGCATGCTGGGTAATTTGGGTCACTCAAACTGATTATGCAAGCATTTTTTTGTTGTATTTTTTGGATGGTAGATAGTTGGGATAGAAATTCAACACTGTCCCTCCATGCTTGCCATAGTCACCTGGCCTCTACCAAGAGGCAATGGGGCAATCCACTGTGAGGCCAATCAAGCAAGGACAGAGTACAAACAATATGATACTAAATTGAACTCAGAAGAGTCAAGAACTTGAGACTGATTTGAGATGATTTGCAGAAGAAGCAACAGCAACATGAGAAACATCTTTTTCCATCCGAGTGGCGCGGATTTGGAAAGCACTGAGTCTGTGAATTTAAGCTGGCCTTCAGAACAGAATTTGATTGGTGCCTGCAGAAATGAAGTAATTGCAATGCTACAGGGAAAAAGGCTGGCCCTCGTAGAGAGCTAGAATAGATATAGAGGACTGAATGGCCTTGTTCTGTGCTGTCATTGTTCTAGGATAGTAGGTTTACAGAATTGGTTTTCTTTACAGTTTCTGGTAGTCCCAGAAGCACAACAATAGATACCAATAGGAAAAGGATGGACTTTATGGCCCCTCCAAGACTGATGTAACACTGATGTAAGGAGAGGCCTGAAGATACTGGTGCTGGCCACTGTGTCAGTTTTGGGACAGTGCTGCTGGAGCTGGCCATTTTGTGGGAGGTGACTCAGGTAAACTAGACAATTAGGCTTCGAAAGATATAATAGTCAGTTTACGACTGGGGCTCTTGCAGTTGGTCTTCTAGTTCCTGTTGCAACGAAATCAGATCAAATGCCTGGAGTTGGGCACCGATCGGAAGGCTGGGATTCCAGTCTTCCTGATTGGCCAACTGGCCTAGCTGGAGGTACAGCTGAGAAACATCGTTTAACGCGGTTCAACACCATCCTCTCCACCAGTCTCACCCCCAACTACCACAACTACCACTTGGCTCCTTTTTATTTCAATTCACGTATTCCAAAACAGCGCTTGAGTGGGAGACTTACTTCTGATGTACTTTCTCCAGTTTTTCACCTTATACCGGAGCTGGCTGTTCTTCTGAAGCTGAAAGATCTCTGATTCATTCTCCAATTGTGAGAGTGACTGTTTGCTGGGTTTCACTGACAGGAAAACCGTCTCCGTGCCAACTAATGCTCAGCCGCATAGAAAGCTTAGTTTTGATCAGTTTCCGTCTACAGGCAGCTATAGGCCCTGAACCAAATCCAGCACTTGTTTCCTGATTACTTGGTGAAAATTCAAGCCAAAGAGTGATGCTTAGCATTTAACACAATAATAACTCGAGGACAGTTCTTCATTACTGTAATCCAGTCTCCATAGTCTTGTGCATAATGTCTAATTAGAAGCAAGTCAAACACTGCGGCAGGAATTGAGAAGAATAATATAGCAGGTAATGGTTTTGATTTTGTGTTTGTGTTTGTGAATGAAGCTATTAATCATATTAACTTTGTGCATTTCTCTATCTGTATTTCTCATTGTAACACTATCTGAGCTGTGCAGCATGTCTGTGTTACTGCAGAATCTCTTTATACTGTACCTAACTAAGTCTTGCTTCATGTGTATGTTAATCGCAGGCTACTTTCTCTTTTATTAATCGAACAGACTCTATGTCTATATGTGTCTGTGTTGCATTTTCTCAGGCGTAGAAGTATTTTTGCTGTTCTTGCACTGCTCCCATCATGCCTTTGGACTGACTATCTTTTGGCCTTTGGTATTAACCCTTGGTAAGTTTATTTTAATAGCCTTCTTACCTAAAGCCTTGTGAGAAATGTTAAAACAGAAGCCTCTCAACCAGATGTTCTCTCTCAACTGTATTGTGAGAAGCTACTGGCTACAGTTTGTAGGATAGTTCAGACAGTTACTTGTGTTATATCCCACAGAGTGTGCGTGTTTGTTTTGTCATTTTGTGAGGGATGTGAGATTAGTTTTTAACTGGTTGGGCCCATTCCATGTTTGGAAGAATGCGAGGTGATCTTATTGAAACACGTACGCTCCTGAGGAGTCTGGAGAGGATGGATTCTGGGAGGATGTCTTCCCTTGGAGTAGAGACGAGAATTAGGGGAGGTACTTTTAATGTGGAAGTGCAGATTCTTTTTTTTTTCTCTCTGAGGGTCATTTGTCTGTGGAATTCTTTTCTCCTAAAGCAGTGGTGCATTGAATTTATTCAAAGTGGCGATTTTTGATTGACAAGAGAGTCAAGGGTCATGGGGAAAGTGGAGTTGACGCCACCACGATCTTATTGAATGTGACAGAACAGGCTCAGAAGTGCTGGCAGACGTACTCCAACTCTTTGCCCAAGTTCGTATGTCCAGGCTTTAGGGGAGGCAGTAACTTATTGGTAATGCCACTGGACTGACAGTCTCGAACCCCAGGCCAACGTTCTGGGGAGAGGAGTTAGGTTCCTACCACAGCAGGTGGTGAAATTTGAATTCAATAAAAGACTGGAATAGAGAGTAATCCAATTGTGACCTATTGAGACTGTAGACTATTGTGGAAAAAAAAACAGGTATTGGACTCACTAATGTCCTGTAAGGAAATCTGTCACCTTTACCTGATCTGGCCTACATGTGACTACAGACCCACAACAATGTGGTTGACTGTAACTGCCCTGTGGACGGTTAGGGATGGATAATAAGTGCTGGTCTAGCAGCAATGCTCACGCCCCATAAATAATAACAGATAGATAGGATTGACCAAGGGCAGAAGGAAAGAATTAGCTTACAGCAAAATTTGTACTTTATTGTGGAAAAATTAGACACGAATGAATGTCAAGCTGAAAGAGAAGTGACCAAACGGTTAATGTGTTAAGCAAGGTTTTAGGAAGGGCACTCCAGAGTGTAAGTCCCAGATGGATAAAGGTGTGGCTGCCAGAGTGGATGAAAGGCAGGGGATGCACGCTTTGCCAGCACTGGAGAATGTCAGGCTTTGTTAGGGTTGTAAGGCTTGTAGAATTTTCACAGAAAAACCGGGTGAGGCCTCAATAGGACTGAAATACGTGAATCAGTGGGGAATCAGAGAGCCGATGTGAAACACCAAGAACAAGCTGTTGAGTAAACAGGATGGTGTAGGCAGTAGAGTTAGGTTCTGAATTTAAATTTTAGCAATATTTAATAGTGTAACCACAGTTTATCATCAGTAATAGAATTTCAGTGGCTATGTATGTTACTCATTCTTAAACCGAAGCTCTTTAAAATTAGCCGCTATCTCTGTATCTGGGAATATGTTTATGTTGGGAAATTAGTAAAAGAGTTTGTCAAACCTACATTATAGGAAATATTGATAACCACATCATTGCATGAAAAGATGAATAACTAATTCAAGTATATTGAATTAGTGATCAATATGCCTACATTCAGATTTATTAACGCAAGTATTAATTGTAAGCATATTTGAAGATTTACTTGAGGTATATAAAATTACAAAGGTCCTGAATAGAGTGAATAAATATGACCTATTTCCCTTGGCATAGAGATCGATCATTAGAGGGTGTGGATTTAAAGTAATTGGTAGAAGGATGAGGAGGAGGAAATGCAGGATCCAACTGCAGGGTGGAGGCAGTCTGGAGCTTGGTGCTTGAAAGGCTAGTCAAAGCAGAAACTCTCATCCCACTTAAAACCACTAAATGGGCTGTACTTAGACGTGCCATAACCTCTAATGCTAGGGACCAGGAGCTAGAAAGTTGGATTGGGTTGGGCATTGGTTTTCAGCTGACAGACACAATGCACTCTGGCTTCCTGTGTCGTGAATTTGCAAAGTTTCTACATCCACTATGAATCAACATAATCAGGTTTATTGCCACTTAACACTGCTACTTTATAAGATACCCCAGTAAGGCAATATACAAGAACCATATGATATATCAATAATCTGCCAATAAAATAAACATTACTGACACACTTCTTCTACAGTATACATTAACTCAAGCCTACATTTCAGTAGTAGCAATAGTAATGAATGTAGCCATATCCTAAAATATACTAGTCATTATATAACTATACTAATTGTATACTATAGTAATATAATATAGTATACATTGTACAATACTATAAATAGTGTACAGTATATTCTATATATAGTATACATTATACCAGATGATTGTATACATTATGCAATACTGTATATAGTATACATTATACTCTTGTAAAATGTAAATACTAATACTGTTCACATGTTCAATATGTTAAATCACAATCATGAGTAATGAATATACCAATGTGCTGATAGTATAAGATTGAATAACTGAAGCACGTGTAATTTGTTAGATACAGTACCACTACATTGGACACATTGGTGACACAAAATGTTCTTACACAGAGTACAGCTCCCTCCTGTGAATGGTATATTTACCCTTGTGTTTGCCTCAATGTCCAGCCATTCTGTAAGCAGATCCTTTTCATTGTGTTTGCTCCATTTTACTGTATGTTTACCAATATTTTGTGTCAGTTACTCCCAACCTGCATGGATTCTGTCCAAGCTCTAAATCCATTGCGATTCTCCCTTCATTGGAATGAGATGTGTGCTTATCAAATATCAGGTTAGTAACATGGAAATGTCTCAGAAGAGAGAGGGTTAAGAAATCTTATTTTACCATAAGTTATATTCAAGCGTAGATGATTATTTAGAGTCTTTTGGCACAATGACTTCCAAATTATGTTCAGGTGTGCTGTCATTTACATCGAGCACGTTTCATAAAGTTTAATAGTGAAGGTAGAAACAGATGGGCATCTTTCTAATCAGATGTTCTTTACTTACAGGAATAAATATGCACTGAAGAAGAGGAAGTTGGCCAAGTATGTTCAGTGCTTTTGTGATGAACTTGAAACTGATCAGAAACAGTTCTATTCTAAGCGTTAGACATTGAAGTAGTAGTATTGTTAGCATGATGTGTATCTATCCTATGTTATGACCCAGGCTTGCTTCTTTGCATAGCTCCAACATTGCTGTGGGAGAATAGAGCTTTTGTAAATTCTAGATAGACCTACAAGGATCTTCAGGTACAGAAAAATGCAACACTGCAGTCTTATAAAGTAGATGTTTCCAGTACATTGTTATTGTGTGTAAGAAGAAAGTGATACTCGTGCATTCCTAAGACTAAGAATACTCTTGGATGTGATCTCCATCAGGCTCCTGATTTTATAAAGTTCAGGTCTCTACGTACAACTTTTCTTCAACCCAATTATGGAGAAGCACAGGCGTTCTGGGGAATGCACTAGTCTTTCTCAGAGTCTCTATTTAAAACCAAGGCCAATCTTTGTACAAATCAAATCAAAATGTCGATCAGGAATCATGGCCTGCAACATGGTACTGAGATTGTTTTCCTGACCATACCACATCCCCTTAACAATCATTCCAGTCAATCTTGCAGGTTTCAAATATGACTTCTTACAATATTGTCCTCAAATGACACATCGCAGAATTTCTCACTGAATAATTGTACAAAGGCATAGATGAAGGTTGTTTTTAGTTCATTTATCCATATTTTAAGGTCTGCCTGTAACCACCCACACATTCCTGAGGCAAGAGGACAGTCAGCAACCACTCTCATAATGTACTGCACAAAGGATTCAATTGCCTGTATGTATGGTCTTTGGTTTTTAGCCACTCCTTTACTCATGAGAAACCTCACTCAATCAGTGAACCTGAAGAGGCATTGCAGAGCCAAGCGCATCACAAATCCTTCTTCCTCTTTGAAGGTTGCATTCATTGTACTGTAATAGTGAGCCCTAAAGGGTGAAATCATTTTAAATGTTCCGGCAAATTAACTTCATACTGATGAGTCAAAACAAAACTTATTTTCATTTTAATAACTTCCAGTAAGTCAGCACTGAGTATTTACACTGATCAAAACTGATGAGTTAGTGAAAAATGTATTGGGACACCACAGGCAGCTGTGATTATTTTTAGCTAGTTAGACCGAGCAATAGTTTTTTGTTTAATTTAAACTGCTTCTTTCTCAGCACTGTAGAATATTGATTGCATTTTTCTTCAATTATTGATCTCTGTCTCTTTGCCCTTTCATAAAAGGCAGTCATCCTGCTCATGAGTGATTGCTAATGTGACTCTGAGAGTTGCAAGTTGTTAATTTTTGTTTGCGCTTATTTCTTTTCTGTGGCGATGCACACTGCTTCCCAGAATTACTCAACTGAAATTGCTGGTCAGGTACATCAAAAATCATGACCTTGGCATTAACAGCCCTCTCGTTAAGATTTAAAACATTTAGAAATAAATTAGCACGTCATCCCCGTGAGGTGCCAAATAAGCAGTTCATATTTTTAAAAAGGGTGCAATTGTCAGGGCAATGTGGTCGTGTTTAATTGGTGGTGAACATATAAACTGTCTCAGGGAATGGAGCCAACCAAACTGAGAATGTGAAATTACTGCAGCCTGTTTAACATATTTTAAAACAAAAATCGCTAGCAACATAAAACAGGTCAACCCATTTTACACTGCTTCACATTTTACCCACTGACTCTCATCTGATTGCTTCTGGACGCAACCTTTAAAACGTGGAATCTTGCAAATGGTAAATGCTGTGTTCATGAGGAAATTTGATCTTGCCAGTGATTTAACAGAGCTAATGCAACAGGTCCCAGATGCACCCAAACCAGTTACTGTACACTTTCAAATGTGCATCTAAATGTAACTACTCAATGTTACAAGTGTAACTTCAAACAGTCCTTTCTACAGGCTAGGAATGAATTAAATAGGTGTGAGTATGACCTGGATAATTTTGAAATAATGGAAGTTAGTCTCTTGACTAAAGTTCTAATAATGTCATCAAAAGTGAGTAAACCTCACTGCCATAGGCAAGGCCTCTTGACAATACCTTCCACTATTATAGAAGTGAATTTATCTTTAACGTGAATTCATTCTTTTTTTCAATACCAATGCACAAGTTAAATTAATGGACATTTTTTGTTCAATTCCCTTAGCCCTGTTCAGCTGGACGATTTTGAATTATATCTCAAGGACATGGGTAGAGACTCTGATTACAAATTCTCTCTGCAGTTTGAGGTAAGGTACTCCTTTACCTAATGAGGCAGTTACTGAAATATTTGCTCCTCCTTTTCCTTACTTGTGCATGTTTACAGTAAATTCACCATAGCCTGAGAGTACTATAGAGCCGTTGTCTCCAAGAGACAAAGGTCACTGGTGATGAGTTTAACCTAAGGGTCACCTCACCTCAACCAAGGGATAACTTCATGGTAACCTTAGCCAGCATGGGAATTGAACTCTTGTTATTGATGTCACTCTGTGTCACAATCCAGCTGTCCAGCCAACTGAGCTAACCACTCGGATAGCAGGCAAACAACTATTACCATATGTTTGTGCCACTCAATGCCTGGTCAAATAGGCAGTACCTAAGAATAGGTTATGATTCACCCTCACTGATTTATTTTAAATTTTTCCTTCTTCCCTCTTCTACAACCACCAGCCCCAATGGGAAGGTCTCTTGTTTCTGTTCAGTTCTGTTCTGCAGCAATTCACCAGCAAACCAGCATCAAATTGGTACTTATCTATAAATTGATGTTAATGGCAGCACATTTCCTGAGAGGTCAGCTGATCCACCTCTGCTATTAACAAGCCTTTTTCAAATTAGATTACAATTCTTTTTTACATTCAACAAACCCGTTTGTCCATGTGTTTTTACTTGTGCTTTCTCATTATTGTGCAGATCATGTCTTTCCACAAACTCATTATCATTCTGGTTTTCATTGTCAGGATCTCAAGCTTGTGGGTCAGGATATTCCCCATGATGCAGCTGAACTGCCAGTAAATCGATGTAAAAATCGTTACACTAATATCCTGCCGTGTGAGTATTTACAGAGTCATACTGTACTGCATTCATCAAATAATCCTCATTTCTCCACTGTCTGGAAGTGTAATTCCTGTGAAATGTGGGACAGCTTTAAATTAAATGCACTGCAGCTTTTAAAGCAAGTTGCTTTTATATTAAACTCCCAAAGGCCTGTTTCTGCTCCTAATGGTTCATACGTTCAATGGATTTACAAATGATCTGAGCGACACGTGTTGGAAGCACTTATCTTTTCTACCATATGGACTTCTGTAATATGATGTATTGACATAATTTACTGGAAAATGTTGAAAACTGCACGTATAGATTGACGCTTTACTATTTATTTATACATTGAAGCAGGTAGTTCACCTTAACATGCCACGACCAATCCCACTTTACTGAACCAGTCAGTTCCCCTGTTCAACTTGCTAACAGTACTGCAATATTAATCCATATGTTCTCACTGACCCATTGGAAGATCTACTCTACCCGCTTGAGGGGAGCTCCGCTGAAGTGGCCCAAAGGTATCGCTGCTGCATGTTAGCCATCCTGCAACACCTAATCCACACAAAGTGCTGTCATGACCCGGTTGGAAACATTGTGCTCAGAAACAAGCCCCACTGTTCCACATAAGCCTCGACAAATGCGCATTAATATAATTAAGGCACAAAATCCAATTTTACCTGGCTGACTGCAGTTCAAAGATCAAACTTAATACAGACCAGGTTTCATTTTGAGTAGGAAAATTAACTTTATTGTAGACACCTCTACTTTAACAAAATGATGTGGACTGGGATGGACAAAGTGGGAAGTCATTTCACCTGACAAAGGAGCAGTGCTCCGAAAACTTGTGAATTTAAATATACCCGTTGGACTATAACCTGGCGTCGCGTGACTTCCAACTTTAACAAAATGACAAAGATGAGTTATTAATTACTATTACCACCATTTAACTGAAGCTCCACCTCTTCCTACCCAAACACCCACTTATTTATGATTGACACAGAAGGCAGAAAGTTTGGCATAAAACTGTGAATGGGGATATAGTCAGTGAAAAGCTATTCCATATCCCAAGTCTGGACACACAGTTGAACGAGCAGCTCTCATAATTCACATGTTGCTTATTGTTGATGCCATGATGCAAAGTGCTCCAAGGCACATTTTATTCTCCCTTTTTAAAAACCGTGTCCATTTTTATCTATTTTCAGTTCACAGTCCAAAATAAAAGGTGTGATCTTTACGGACACAGTAACATGATGAAAATAGCTAGCATTAAATTAGAGAGGCCCACTTTGCACTTTTCAATATACAACCACTAATGGGCTGCACAATGGCTCAGTGGTTAGCACAGCTGCCTCACAAAACCAGGAACCTGGATTCCATCCTCGGGTGACTGTCTGTGTGGAGTTAGCACATCCTCGCTGTGTCTGCATTGGTTTCCTCCCACACTCCAAAGATGTGCAGGTTAGATAGGTTAGCCGTGGGAAATGCAGAGTTACAGAAATGGGGTAGGGCTAAGTGGGATTCTTTTTGGACGGTCACTGTAGACTCAATAGGTCGAATGGCCTGCTTCCACACTGTAGAGATTCTATGGTGAAATGTAATAAATCAGGCATAGATTTCAGGCAGGAGAGTAGAACATGAACATGGAAAATGAAGGTCAGTGAATGGCAGGGAGGGACAAGGGCAAAAGGAGGCACCAAGCAGCAGGAATGAGAAAGAGTATTATATAGACATAGAACTACTGCAGAATTCTAACGTGCAGAAGGATCCAGGTATTCTGGAATTTTAAGGCACTGAAGAATGCTAAAGGGTTTAAGCTTGACACTATTTTTACGTGGGTCTAAGTACAATGCCAATGGAGTTAATGTCATTGAGCTTCATGCTCCCTGAATGTCCATTCACATATGAACATGGCCCTTCCTTATAAGCAATGAGACCTCGTGGATGATTGCATTGACTTAGTGTTCTTGACAGAACATGGTTAAGAGGTGCTAACTCTTCCCCATAACTAAAGCTCCTCTAGCAGATATGCTTTCCATCACTTGCCCTTCCTAGACCATCCCACAATATAGCTGTCACTAAATGTCACATCCTTCTGACTCCCTGTTTCTCTGACATCTCTTTTAAACATTTTACCTTTTTTTCGCCCATTCATCTCTCACTTCAATCCTCTTTTTCCCTGATGGCTGTTGGCGCTAATTTTCCACCCCGGCTTTCTCACTGAGGTATCACTGCTTTCCTCCCTCTGCCTCTGCATGCAATAACTTCTCAAGCTCAGTCATTCCAACTTCCAGCTCGATTTAAGGGTGTTCTGCTCATCGAGCTCACTGCCATCTTGTCCTCCCCTCTACGTAAACCTGCCCAACTCGCATTCACACAATCCTCTCGATGTTGCCATCCCATGTGACTTTGCTACTTACAAGCAAAGGAATGTCTATGACTGATCTGTCTCCTTGTCTTGCTGTTCACCCATATTTCCCAGTTTCCTTTCCTGTGCCTGTCCCCTTCTCCAAATTCACCTCCAATTTCACTTACGACTGACTAGCCTTTAACCCACAACAGCCAGGTGGGTGCTGTTGGGGTAGTGGTTAAATCACTGGACTAGTAATCCAGAGGCCCAGGCTAACTCCCCACCTACACTCACCTTTACTGGCTCCATCCCCGCCTCTTCGACCTGTTTGTTTCCTCTCCACCTATCTTCTCCTCTATCCCCCTCTCTCCCTATTTATTTCAGAACCCCCTTCCCCTCCCCCATTTCTGATGAAGGGCCTAGGCCCGAAACGTCAGCCTTCCTGCTCCTATGATGCTGCTTGGCCTGCTGTGTTCATCCAGCCCCGCACCTTGTTGTCCCGTATCTCTGCCTGTCTGCCCCTATTCCTCGCTTATTTTCCTGTCCAGATGTCCTAGGAGAGGGAGCGCATCAATACTATCGATGCCTTTAGAAAGAGGTGGGCACCACAGAGGATACAGCGCTTTATCTCCCCTTCCAATTCCATTTTGATTTAGCCCTTCCCAGTCTATGTGGAAAGTCTTCTTGGCGCTTGGGAACCCTGCAGCCCAATGTTATCAATGTGGATTTCACAAGTTTCAAAATCTCCCCTCCCCCTACCGCATCCCAAAACCAGTCCAGCTCGTCCCTGCCTCCCTAACCTGTTCTTCCTCCCACCTATCCCCTCCTCCCACCTCAAGCCGCACCTCCATCTCCTACCGACCAACCTCATCCCGCCCCCTTGACCTGTCCGTCCTCCCTGGACTGACCTATCCCCTTCCTAACTCCCTACCTACACTCACCTTTACTGGCTCCATCCCCGCCTCTTCGACCTGTTTGTTTCCTCTCCACCTATCCTCTCCTCTATCCCTCTTCTATCCGCCTCCCACTCTCTCCCTATTTATTTCAAAACCCCCTTCCCCTCCCCCTTTTCTGATGAAGGGTCTAGGCCCGAAACGTCAGCCTTTCTGCTCCTGTGATGCTGCTTGGCCTGCTGTGTTCATCCAGCCCTGCACCTTGTTGTCTCTGATACTCTGGGAAGATGGCTTCAGATCTCACCACAGTATCTGGTGGAATTTAAATCTACTTAATAAATCTGCAATTGAAAGTGAGTTTAGTGGGTGACTGTGAAAAGATTTGAAGCCATCAGATGACAAATGTAATTCAGAGAAGGAAATCTGCCATCTTTACCAGGGTTACAATAACTATACTTTAAAATTATTATCATTAGTTCCAAATTTTCTTCCTGTCGCCGTAATCTCCTCTAATGCTAACACATCTCCGAAATATCTGCATTCGTCTAACCTGGCCTTTTGAGCATCAATAATTTTAATCACACTGTTGTTGGTATCTAGGCCTTAGGCTGTCAAAGCTGTAAGCTCTGGAAGCTCTTTCCCTGAACCTTTCCATCTCGCTGTCTCCTTAAAGGTGTTCTTTAAAACTGATCTCTTTGATCATCCACCGTCACATGTCCTTGGAGAATGTCTGCTGACATCCCAAAAAAGCTCTGTCACCTGTACAAAATCCACGTACCTCTGTCACCGATGTCATTCTGTCCCATTTGATCAGATTTATTGTTCTTATTTGGATGCCACCATTTCTTTTGCTGGCAGGGTGTCTCTCAAAATGTGCATGCACGGAACTTTCTACAACGTGTATCTTTCAGAGACACGGTCAAGTCTTTATGCATAACTCAGGGTCACATCTTATTTTGTAACTTTAATTGGGATGCACCCTGGGATGTTCCATTATATTTATATAGAATCATGAATGTAAGTAATTGGCAGTGGAGGAGAAGTAGGATTGTGAGCACACCATTCAGATAAAACTGGTATAGTACTGGATGTAGACAGTGGAGAGAGGAGAGGTCACAGCTAACAGGGACAGTGAATGAACAGAATAAAAACAAAGTACAGCGAGTGAGATCAGGTATAATAGCTCAGTGAATATGATTCTGGGGTGACCAGAACAGCTATTTCCAGTCCTGTGTATTCATCTCCAGTAAGTCCTCAATTAAAGGTCCCATAGCAACCAAGGCTAATACTGTAGTCACAGTAGGGGCTTCCTTATCATAAAGAAAAACAAAGAATTAATACTTTCTTAGAAGCTGGGTTGTTAAGTCTACTCAAGGCTGAGATAAACTGATTTTAGATCAAAGGGACATAGGTGGAATTGAGGATTATGATATTAACAATGATCTCCTTGACTGGCAGAGCAGACTTGATGGGTTGAATGGCCTACGTTTTATGGTTTGTTTTGTTCTACCTTCTAAGTTAAAATATTTTACATCATTTAATTTCTCCACTGGTAAACAAAATAACTTTTAAAATAAGTTGACATTAGCTACTTTAAAATTTTCTTTCACATTTTTGAAGTATCTCCTTCTCCATCAGTGATCCTCCTGCCTGATATGGCTTCTCTGCACTGCCAGGATCTCCTCATTCCTTCACCCTCCAGTTATAAATTTTTCCTCCCTCTATGATCTCTGACGTGCGGCTTCTTCTTCATGCCCCAACTCGCCCTCTTGCTGGTTCGTTCTCCTGGTCATGCATTCCCTCCCAAGGTCTAGATGCAGTCTGAAGCTGGAACTTCTAACCAGTGGCATTCATACTTCTATAAAATAGAAGTGCTGGCTCTTTGAAAGTACATGTGTTTTTAAATGCTCCCCATTTGCGAGTTCCTTCTCCTGAATGTTTACTGTGAGTTAGGGCACTGGAGAAGAGCAGGAACAGCTTTGAAAGTCACTTTTAAGAAAAATGTGGATTGTAAAAAGCTGCAGTAGTGCTGAACCATTGGGACATGCATTTCCATTACATGGAGTTTGAGCTTTAAATTGAATCTGGATCTTGAATAGGGACATAAATGCAGCAGAGGGATATGGTGAAAGGTCAGAAGTGGGGAGTGGCCACAACTTGGGGAAACAGTCTGCAACTCAAAGATCAAGAAGGCCATGCAGGAGGCAACGTTAAGATTAATCTCAAACATATCAGCAAGGAGCAAAAGTAGGCTACTCTGCCCCTCGAGCTGCTCTCCCAGTCACTAATATCACAGTTGATGTGATTATGAATCCCATAACTTTCTACAAAATTGCAGGTCCGATCCAATTACCGACACTAAAGTGAAACACTAAATGGGCCAACTTCATACTACATTAAGGCTTCGTTTAAATGGTCATCTATTCAGAGCTCCTGACCTTCACTGTAAGAATACCCTAAGCTGAAAAGCCAGTGCAGTCAGAATGCTATATTTTGTTTGATGAAGAGGACATTGGCAACCAAAAAAAAAGTCCCTTTGTCTTTCTGTAAAAGTAAATTGCCAAGAAGAGTTGACTGTTAATGAGGGTCCAGTTTCTGACATCCTAGTCTGCACAGTTGCATTTCAAAAAAATACCTGTCTCTTGGCATTCAGCATTTGTTATTATCCCTACAACAGCAACCTAAATGGAGCAAATATTCCTATCAATTTTGGCATTCATTAGGCTGAGATATGCAATAAGTACACTTTAACGTGTTACCATTCCTTTCAAATATGGTTGTGACACTGGAGATTACTTAACATAAAGATGTGTAATGTCTTCATTGGATGCCACTGTCTTGACAGATGACTTCAGCCGGGTGAAATTAAGATCTCTGCACAGTGAAGAGGGCTTGGACTACATCAATGCTAACTACATCCCTGTAAGTAATTGGTGTGGTACAGAAGTCTTTAATCATTCTTTTCTGGTCTCAGTGGGTTCAGTTAGAGAGAACTTAGTTCATTAAGGTGTTGCTGACTTGACATTCCATGCCTTCCCCTATAAGAGACAGAGCCTCACCCTGTTTTGCAAAGTTTGATGTACCATGGGCAGCACAGTGCCTCAGTGGTTAGTACTGTTGTCTGACTAATGCCAGGGACCCAGGTTCAATTCCAGCCTCCAGTGACTGTCTGGGTGGAGCTTGCATGTTCTCCCCATGTCTGTGTGGGTTTTCTCCCACATTCCAAAGATGTTAGGTGGATTGACCATACTAAATTACCTGCAGTGATCAGAGATGTGAAGGTTAGGTGGATTAGCCATGGGAAATACAGGGTTACAGGGATAGAGTAGGGGTTGACTCTGGGTGGGATACTCTTCAGGGTGTCAGTGTGGACTTGTAAGACCAAATGGCCTGTTTCCACATCATAGGGATTCTCTGATTGTAGGATGCCGGCTCAGTATTTTTGGAGCAGATTACAAACAAGTCATCCTCACAGTTACTGTAAATGCTTTGTAACTTAATGCCCATTTGGTATGTTTTATATACATAAATTGTTTGATTATCCTTTAACAGTTTCAGTGTAGTAAAGTATTGGAATTAATTTTTAAACATGAGCTGAATCATTCACCTATCTGATTGAGGATTGAGGCCAAAGTGTTCAATTCAGCTGCTTACTTCTCCAAATTTGACTTGTCAACTGATGTACGTTACAATACAGATTTTCAGACAGAAGTCCTTATCACGTTATATGATCGATTCCTCATTCTATGGGACTAGTTTTGCAACTTAATTCCACTCTTTAAAATGACTTGAATGCCAATTTCTCTTGCTTTCTTTAAGTTCCTCCTTCTCTTCCTCCTGACTAGCTGAAGGCTCTTTGTTGGGATTTGATGCTGTCACTCTCAGGTGCAATCCAGTAGCCACTTGCCCTGTGAGCGCCTTCATAAGTGTCATTAGGCTAACGTAACCATAACCTCCCCAAAATCCGAACATTTGTGTCCAACAGGAATTGGAGGATTATGATCAAGAGTACAGATAGAACATAGAACATTACAGCGCAGTACAGGCCCTTCAGCCCTCGATGTTGCGCCGACTTGTGAAACCAATCTGAAGCCCATCTAACCTAAACTATTCCATTATCATCCATATGTTTATCCAATGACAGCTGATTTTATTTTCTCCTTGTCAGAAGAGCACTACGATCAAGTGTAATGGTTCTGTAATAACTCAGTTACTATTCGTTAACTCGAAAAGGAGAAACCTTTGGACATTTTTGTTTGGTCATGGTGATGAACTAACTTGCAATAACCAAGGATCTGGGCAGCAGATACATGGGAATACCTACCATCTGCAAGATCCCCTCCAAGCCCCTCACCCCTGTGACTTGGAAATATATTGCCATTCCTTCACTGTCCCTAAGGGCATCGTGGGTCAACCTACAGCACGTGGACTGCAGTGGTTCCAGAAGGCGGCTCACCATCGCTTTTGCGAGGGCAACCGGGGATGGGTAATTAAATGGTGGCCAGTCAGCAAACCTTGTCCTAGGCGTAGAAATAAAATCTTAGAGGGGTCATTCTGAAGTGGGAGAGTGAAGAGAGGCTACCTCTCCTGTAGCAAGGCTGTGTATAATAGATTCTATCTGACAGATGAGTTTAACCAGGAGAAATGGATACTTCTGAGATGAGCAGCTAAAAGACTGCTTGAAGTACAGAGAATGGAAGGTTCTGCTGACTGTTGGGGAGGTGGGGGGTACTGTAGAATGGATAACATATACAATGTTTCAGGATCCTCATAATGGCCATACTTTTGATCTTTAGCATTGTTACGCATAGTTTTTGGACTAGAGGAAAACTGTGATTTAATTTTCCACAGGGGTTTAACTGTGCACGTGAATACATTGCAACGCAAGGACCCTTGCCAGAGACAAGAAATGATTTTTGGAAAATGATAATGCAGCAGAAGTCATGTATCATCGTTATGCTTACACAGTGTACTGAGAGGAGACGGGCAAGTAACTGTTAAATAAACTAACATCAACCATAGTTTTAATGGTCTGGTCCACTTACAATCATCATTCTCGCCACCAAAATTGATGTAAAACATTTACTGCTACCCTGTCTTTATAATAGTTACACATTGTCAGTTCATACTACCAATTCTAGATACTAACCTATGTAGTCCGCAGTTGCTGAAATATTGACTTCTTAATCACCCTCCACAGGGAGTTGGTGAGGAGAGGCTCTGCCCTTGGTATTTTATCTCTGGCTAACTCTTGCTCACCCATTATTGATGTCCTAGCTGGCCTATGTTGGTTGATTACTCTGATGCTTGAAGTTTTAAATGTTCATCTTTAAACGGTGCAGCACGGTGGCTGTGATTAGCACTGCTGCGTCACAGCGCCAGGGACCCAGGTTCAATCCCAGCCTCAGGTGACTGTGTGGAATTTGCACATTGTGTCTGCATGGGTTTCCTCCAGGTTCCTCTCAGTCCAAAGATGTGCAGGTTAGGTGGATTGGCCATGTAAAATTGCCCATAGTGTTCAGGGATACGTATATTAGATGGATTACAAGGGGATGGGTCTGGGTGGGATGCTCCGAGGGTCGGTGTGGACTTGTTGGGCCAAAGGGCCTGTTTCCACCCTGTAGGGATTCTATTCTACTCTATTCTAAATCCCTCCACAAATTGAGTATTTATAAATTTACGATAACTCACAAACCTATCTAGAAACAATAGATGGCCCACCTTGAGCTATGCAAGGTAACAGAATACCTACACGTCAACTCCACTTTCGCAATTTATCCTGTATCTGTTAATGGCCAAAAAATGTATTGATCTCAACTATGAATGCATCCATTGATGGAGCATTCACAGGCAGTGGGGAAGAGCATTCTGAAGATTCACAACCCTTTAACTGAAGAAGTAGTTTCTTCTTATCCCATTCCTAAATGGTTCCTTCTGGTTTTAGAACCTTCAGGCAGGGAAATAGAAACTAAACTGGCTGAAAGTTTTCAATGTTTCAATGCAAACTCGTCATTCTTCTAAACTCCAGAGACTATAAGCTCCATTCTATTCAATCTCTTACCTCAGTAATCAATCTAGTGGACCTGCTTGAAAATAACTAAGTCCTTCCTTAGGTAAAGAGACCACAACCCACAGGTTACTGCAGATGTGGGTTTAACACAGCCATGACAGTAAGATTCTGAAACAGATTGTTATACTCCAGTCTTTTGCAGTAAAGGATTAAATGCCATTTTGGCAAGCAAATTACATACATGAATGAAAAAATTGATAAAGGATTGATCTTATTTGCAGGTAAAATGTGACCATTATTGGCCTTTTAATGAACAGCCTGTTGGTTACGGAGACATCACTGTTGAAATGGTCTTTGAATCAGAGCACTCAGATCAGTCCGAGGAGACTCAGTCTGAATGGATCATCAGGGAGTTCAACGTCAGCTATGTAAGTTGTTCAGCTTTGACTTTCATGTAAATCCTTTCTTCTGTCAGTATGATGGTGATATTAGATTCAAATAAACGGTTATTCACCCCCTTCCAAGGAAAATGGTCACAATGTTATTAAAGTAGGAGTGGAGCTGATATTATACTCTTTGAAACTTGATTTGTGCCACATTAGCTCAAATTAGCAAAGACAGCAGCGGGAGCATTTCATTGGCCTCAGTGCCCTTAGGTTAGATAGAATTGATGTTTTACCCCAGCAAGCATAAACACCACAATTAAGAAAATGAGGAGATTACTGATAGATTAATATAGCTTTGAGAAAAGAAATATAGAGAGGCTACAAGATGGTGTGTCCAAACCAGATTTGTATCACTGGATGACAGCTTTTTCATGCTGAGTGACCACTGATTAGCAGAGTCCAAAAGTGCTCCTGTGGAACTCAGGCCCTGGCTCAGCAGCTTTTCTGGTTATAATTATTTTATATTGCAATTCCAGTTACCTAATTGTGCATCGAGGCCATGGGTCTAAAATCACTATTCATGCTTAATTTTACTCCCTCATCTATATTTTTTAACTAAATTAATTAAAAATACCTGCTAGCAGCTCCATCACCACTTTTTCCCCTTCGATGCTCCCCTATGATGGGGAATGACTCCAATGACAGATCTGGTGCTAGTTCCATTCAGTTTGAGGGGAGTCCGCTTTTTCAAATGCATTGGTTGATCAGATGTCCAAGCAAATGTGGATACAATCCTGTGAAAAATGATCTACACAAGTGATGAAACAATTTGTAGTTGTTGCAGGGTGCAAGACATTTTTTCACCTCATCTTTGACTGTAAAATATTCACCAAGCTTATGACATCTTTCATCTTAAAACCTCACATCCAATTATGGAATAGTCACCGAACAAGTTCCATTTTTTAGCTGCTTCAAGAATTCCAGCCCCCTTCCTCAGATATTCCGTATTTCTACATTGGCTCCTCATTCTCCCTCATTTTTTGATGACTAGACAGTGACATGCTTTAGGTTAGGTTTTATTGTCACATGTTACAGTACGAGAAAATTTTTTAATAATGGCACCATTTTAGGTACAAAGTAGTAAAAGAAACAGTTAAAATTTTGAGCATTACCTTCACAGAATAAATAGAAAAATAAAGAAGAAGGTAATAGTTAACATTAGAGTCCTTCTTAGTTTAAAGTAGAAACAATAAGGAATTAAGTTAAGTTTGAGTCCTCAGCTGCGTGTTCTTGATGCCGCTGCCCCAAATGCTGGGGGGTCAGTCTGACCACTCGCTCCTCCTGCATTGGGCTGTGATGCCGTCACTGCTGAAGCTGCCATCTCCCTGATCTCCCCCTGCTGCCTCCAGGACCCACTTGCAAGCCACGTGGCGCCGAGAGACTGCCACGTGCCCCTTCCCTGAGACTGGGAAGAAATCCCAAGAGAAAAAGGGAAAAAAAGCAAACAAGAAGGAACAGATGGAGCAGACAAGCTCTGGCTAAAGCGTCCTACTCCACCGACACCTCCGATGATTTTTTTTTTCTCATTGTGCATTCTAAAGGAGAACTTTGTTATATTCATTCTTGATGTGGGTATTGACTGCCCATCTAGTTAGATGTAGACCAGATCAGGTAAGAACGGCAGGTTTCCTTCCCTAAAGGGAATTAATGAACCAGATGGGTTTTACAATAACTGACAGTAGTTACAATGTTGGCATTATGCAAGCTTTCTATTGAATGTCACCATCTGCCATGGGGTGGGATTCAAACCCATTAGTCTGTGGCTCTGGATTACTAGTCTGGTGACTTTATCACTGTGTTACCACTTCCCCAGTATTACATTAAGTGAATAGTCTATTTCTGCTCTCTCCCAAGGTTAGGATGAAAAATAAAGCCAGTGATTCCTGGATGGTAGATGGTTACTCTGAACTCAACATAATCTGCTTCAGTTTAATTTGTGCAGTTTATCGTAATAGATTTCCTCCTATGTTTCCTCTTCACAGGCAGATGAAAGTCAGAGAGTAATTCACTATAATTACATGGCATGGCCAGATCATGGTGTGCCCGGTGCCAATGCAACAGAGAGCATCTTACAGTTTGTACAGCTGGTCAGGCAAGAGACAATGGAGAGACCAGGCCCAATAGTTGTGCACTGCAGGTGAGTCCATTTAACTGGCACCTTATGAAACAGCAAAAATTATACCTCAAATACCCAAGTTTACTGTATTATTTTGTGCAATTATTAGATTTTTAAAATTTATTTACCTCAATGTAAATACACTTGTTCAACCGAAATATCAAGTTGATTCAATTTGGAGTCAATTTCTCCTCAAATACTGCAATCTAGCACAATGTCCAAGTAGTGAATTGAGGGTGTGAGTGAAAAGGCTCTCTGCCGGTAAGTTTTATTTGAGGCAAAATTGCATTAAGTGATTTATGATGTAAATAAAGTGTAACAGTGATGTGTATAGCCCATGCATTATTTAATGTGTGTTTTTACATGGTTCTTTGATTAGCCGGAATAGAACAAAGAACAATACAGCACAGGATCAGACCCTTTGGCCCTCCAAGCCTGCGCTGACCCATTTTGCCCTTCCATATTAAAACTGTCTTCACTTACAGGATCTGTAAGCCTCTATTCCCTTCCTATTCATGTATTCGTCCAGGTCCTTCTTGAATGCTGCTATTGTGTCTGTTTCTACCACCACCTCTGGCAGCGCGTTCCAGGCATTTATCACTGTGAAAAATGTGCCTTGCGCACCTCCTTTAAAACTTACCCCTACTGCACCTTGAACCTGTGTCCCCTAGTAATTGACCCCTCCATGCAGGGAAAAAGCCCTCATACTTTCCATTCTATGCATGCCATTCACAATCTTATAAACTTCTATCAGGTCGCCCCTCAACCTTGTGCATTCCAACGAAAACCAACCCAGTCTATCCAACCTCTGTTCCTAGCTAAAATCCCCCATATCAAGCAACATCCTGGTAAACCTTTTCTATACCCTCTCCAAAGCATCTACATTCTTCCGGTAGTATAGTGACCAGAACTGTAGACAATATTCCAAGTGTGGCTTAACTCAAGTTCTATAAGGCTACAGCACAACTTGCCTATCCTTCTACTCAATGCTCCTTCCAATGACAGCAAGCATGCCATAAGCATTTTTTACTACCTTATCTACCTGCACTGCCACCTTCAGCGATCTATGGGCCTACACAAACAGATATTTGACTAAATTGGCACACTCCTGGTCCCATAGGTGCCAGATAGTAAAAAGTTTATTGTATAATAAAATGGTCTTATTTATGCTTCAGTGTTGGTTCAATGGAAGAAACACATCTAAGATTCAAAAGTGGCATGCATTACTACTTCAAGCAATTGTTCCAATTTTCTCTCTCAATTTTTCTTTACCATTTTTTCTTAAAATTTAGAGGGGCAAATGGATTGGACTCATCCAAATTAAATTGAAACGGAATTACATTTCACATTTATTTAATTTAACTTTGAACCCCTCCCCTCCCCCTCGATTACTTTTCTTCCAATGCAGATTGGCTGCATTCTGAGTAGTGAGTCGGGGATAAACTAAATTATTCAAGTCAGCAAAAGAAATTCCATGCACGATTCAAAGCAGAACTGGGAGTTGTCCCAGTATCCTATTCAATATTCATTCCTCAGACAATATTATAAAGAATCAATTAACAGTCCATTTATTCATTTACTATCTGTATGATTGTGTTGCATCTAATTTAGTTATTTCTTTATATACACAATAATAATGATTAGAATTCAATGCTTGAGGCATTGAAGAGGAAGTGAAATATACAAAAATGCATGTATCCTTTCTTTGAATCAGAGATAGTAGGAACTGCAGATGCTGGAGAATCCGAGACAACAAGGTGCAGAGCTGGATGAACACAGCAGGCCAAGCAGCATCATAGGAGCAGAAAGGCTGACGTTTCGGGCCTAGGCCCTTCATCAGAAATGGGGGAGGGGAAGGGGGTTCTGAAATAAATAGGGAGAGAGGGGGAGGCGGATAGAAGATGGATAGAGGAGAGGATAGGTGGAGAGGAAACAAACAGGTCGAAGAGGCGGGGATGGAGCCAGTAAAGGTGAGTGTAGGTGGGGAG